ATTTTCTCATTTATCACCCTTATCACAACTGTGTTATCTCTAACTTAAGCTGTTACGATGAACTAAAATCAAGTTCGTTGTAAAATATGTATATAAAAACAAAAATGTAAGAAAAGAAAAAAATCCCTTTTACAGGTATCGAACAAGGCCGGGTCTGTACTCTCGCGAAGTAAACACTCCACCACTACGCTATTACGCTGAACGGATAAAAATTGAGTAATTATTAAGATTTAGGCAATAAATAGTATGCTTTTAAATCAGAATTATAGACACCCCTATTTGTCAATATTGATGTAAACAGATAATGAAAACATTGAAAACTACTGTATTTAAATAAAAAATATAATTGTGTATTCTTAAACCAGATGTAGTAAAACGATTTCAAATTAATTTTTGCAAGTAAATTTTTTTAAATAATATTATAACATGGTGTTGGTAAGGAATCGAACAAGAGACCTTTCGATCGGTAGTCCGACATCTATACCAATACACCACACCTCACTGACGAGTTAAATTAGCAAATTTATCGATATATTCAATAGATACTGGTCGGTGTTTATCAGATGACCTTTGCGAAAGTTAATGAAGTGCCAGGTCAATGTTTTTGGATAATATATAAGTCGAAAACGATAACGTTTACATTAATCGGTCGTACCATTATGATATAAAGGGTTAACAAATTACTCATTTAATTATTATATTTTGCACTTTGATTGCAATAAAGAAAAATAAAAGTGGATATGGACAAGTAAATCCGAGTAGCGTAGTGGTAAGATAGTTCAGAACATGGAGAATTCGTGTTTTGAACATGTTTTTATTTTGAGTTCAAGTCTGCAATTATGCACACATTTTTGAGTATGGTTTTTACTTTAAGAATATATCACGGCTGTGTCTTTAACTTAACCTGTTGAATACATTGTATGTAAAACTAAATGTTCTCAAATAGCAATGTGTGAATGAAATTCATGAGAACTGATATCTTGTTCGTTGTTAAAAAACTGAAAACAAAAAAGAAGAAAAGAAAAATGTTTAAGCAGGATTCGAACCAGTGTCTTTACACTGACAAAGCAATTCCCTTCCAATAACTATTAAGCTGAACAGATAAGAAATAAGTACATTGTAATTGTTAGCTGGTTAAATATTTAGGCAACAATTAAATAGTACGCTTTTATATTAGAATTATCGACACCCCTATTTGTCAGATGAATTCGATTTGTATGTTCGTCCATGTATATAGACCTCTATAATGTTTTAAACAATTTCTAGCTATATGAGTAATTGAAAGAGCATCGAAACACAAGGCTATCTGATTTGTACGAGGGGGCGTAGCACCGAGTATTTATCAGAATGCCGAATGTTTTGATGTTTTTTCTCTTTTGTATCATAGTTAAACATAAAAACAAGTTCCCTGTTGTCACAATATGAAACCCAGAGAAAAAAGTAACCTATGAACGAGGATCTGGATATGATATTTCTGTCGCTTTCCGTTTCTCTGCCGTCACAATAAGTAAACCCAAGCAAGAATGAGCCAATCAATGGTCATGCTCTGGAGTGCGGGTAACTAATACCTGCACTCCAGTTAACGCACTATGCATGCACTTTGCATGTATATGTATACGATTAACCTCCCAGAAAGGCCCCAAACTATGAAACAAGCGATATAAACGAATGTGTACACGTATTAAAATTTCTGCGGTAACATATTTTTTCAGTTAAATATGTTTGTGTCCAGCTTTATTTGTCATCCAATGAAAACGCTGTATTTCTTAAAAATTATGTGTGTTAATTTTCATAAAAGAAAAAAAGTCGATACTATATTGAAATCCGTTCATAGTCGCCTTCTATTTTTCATAGTGCTTCATAGTACCGCGTAGTGACGTAATCAATGGCCAAATAAAGCTTGACACTAAATATGTTAGTGTTCATCCTTAGCTGTTCTACAGAAATTAGAAACATTCTCCTGTCGCTATCGCTCCCGTCGAAGTTTCTAATTTCTGTAGAACAGCAAGGATGAACACTAACATATACATAGTGTTTTCCCCTCCCTTTACCTACCCTGAAAAAAACACAGTTGTCAAAATATATTCCAAACAAGAATTACTAAACATGGAAGTAAAGTCTGTCAATGATATTCATATATCGTTCTTATGTTTTTGCATTTTAAATATCAACAAAAAAATCTTTAAACCGATACTAACATTTACATTTATTTCAAATCATAATCTTAGACAAAAAATGTTAAAGATAACAAAATCTACTACCCAAAATGGTAAAGGTGACACGGGAAGGGAAACAAAGATAATTTTATTTTAAGGCCTGAATCATTTCATAACATAACATACAGACTTCATTCTTATCATTTAATGCTCAATTAATATACTTAACACGTTCTTTAAAAGTCTAAGGCTTTTTTATCGATGACCGATATCAAGCAAGATTAATGCAATAGATCTGTACATGTGTAAATGTAAATACTAGACCGATGAGTCAAAGTAGTTGTTTTATCTTGAAGGTTATGATAATTACTATAGCAACGCGCCGTGCAAATAAGACTAAACTTTGTCTATTATTTCTAATATACATGTATATATACTCAATAATAGATTTATATATTTGTATTAAAACAACGGTTTTTAAGTATTAATAAATTAATTCTTTTTGTGTATTTTTTCAGTTATAATATAATGGCTGAACAAGTAAGTGGAAAAAGAAAACCAAAAGAAAGAATTGGAAAATCTGGATCACGGGAAAAGGGAATAAAAAGCTCCGTGGCGTCTGTTTATTTAAGCTCTGAGGAGGTAACATTAGGTGACAAAAAATCAGGGGTGTCATCAGTTTACAAAAGTTCGGAGGAATATTACGAGTGTGATCCTTGTATAACTGTCGGAGATCATACCGAGGCTGAGGGGTTTTGTACTGATTGTAACGAATATCTTTGCAGTACCTGCTTTCGTAGTCATTCAAGAAACAAACTATCAAAACATCACGTTTTGCTGAGCAAAGGTGACATGCCAAGAAAATCTCCTAAATTCTGCAATCCGTGTAAAGTTGCTGGTGACAAAATCAAGGCAGTCGGTTTCTGTGAAGATTGCAGTGACATTCTTTGTAGTGGTTGTTTCAAAGGCAATCCTAGAAATAAATTTACGAGGCATCACGTGATTGTAAATGACGAGGCACTTGTTGAAGTAGATCATGATGTTACACCTTCCATTTCAAAAATGAAAGTAACAGAAAATATGACCAGCGGAGTAAACACGATCGAAGACTTTACTTTCATCCAAGATATCAACGTTAAGTCAGATACTGACGAAAAGGACAGCTTTATATATATTACAGATATGACGTTAGTCTCTAACAATGAACTTGTTCTATGTGACAATCAATGCTTAAAACTCGTTGATATCAACAAGAACTTAATCAAAGACGTCTTATCATTACAATGCAAAGCAAATGGAATTACAACGATATCAAATGACCAGATAGCTGTTGTATTAGAAAACAGTTATCAGATACAGCTAGTGAAAGTACGTGAAAAACTGACTCTAGATCGTTCAATAAAAACAAATGGTAACTGTGTAGATATGAAGATGATCAACAATCAGTTATATGTTTCATATAAACAACCTGTAAAGTTTCAGATACTACAGCTGACAGGGGCAATAATCAAGACGATCAAACCTGATGATGAGATACTAAAACATTGTACATTACCTCGTTATATTGCCGTGAGACATGATGAGAGTGTGATCTATGTATCCGACTGGAAAACTAACAAAGTTATGTCTCTTGATATGAATGGTAATATGTTATCATTGTATCAAGGCGATTTAGAACTCCCGCACGGTATTATAATCTCTCCGTCTGGATCAGTCTACGTCTGTAACAGAAATCAGCACATCGTGTACAAGATGACGTCAGACCTGAGTGAAGCTATGGTGATACTGGGACCAGGAGATGGATTAGAATACCCGCAAGCAATATGTTTGAATAAGAGAAATCAACATCTGTACATCAGCAGTGGATGTTATGAATATCAGAATACTTTAAAAGTTGACAAATGTTAAGAAATAGTACACTTACACACTTGATTTTTATAGTGAGGTCAGTATTGTTTAAAGAAAAAGGGAATCTATATCTCTCTAACATCATCAACAGAATCATTTATTTTGGAAATATGGAAAACATTTGTACATAAGCAGTAAAAGTACTGATGCAAATTATAGAAATAATATAAAAGTTTACAAATGTTAAGAAGTAGTACGCTTATTCAAATGGCTTTTATTGTGAGATCAGTGTTATATTTTTTTTGAGAAAAAATGGAATCAATAACTGTCAAACATCATTGACAGGCTATTTTATATCAGATGTTAAAAAAGATATTCAAACAAACTTTTTATACGTTAGATATTGAAGAATCAGTTATATCGGTAATTAAAAAAAATACAAATGAACGTTTTATAATCATGATGATATATGTCAAGCAGACATGAAAATATTTATAAAATATGGCTACTTTTCAGCGGAAATTGAGGACCCCAAGTGCCTTTAGTTACGAGCGCCGTTATAACACCGACGCTTCGTGTTCTAACTTGATAGCTTCCCTTTATGAAATAATTCAATGTTTGTGACTCCCGGACTCAAGCAAGGAATTCGAAATTGCAGCGATGAAGGACATTTGGTTTGAAGACCTTACACACTTGGCAACAGATTCCTCTAAACAATAGATAGCATATGCGATTATAAAAGATATTTATAAACCATACTTGTTTAGAGTTAAATGATAACTGAGATAAAGGCACATATATCAAACTTAAAAAAAAAAAAAAAAAACATTCGTAGTATGGAAATTGGCTCGACTACATTACTGAATTACAATATAAAACATTTTTCAATCGCATATTGGGTGTTATGAGTAAATTTTAACACTTATCCTTTTGTAATGTAGAAGGACAAATTTCACAAAATAATATTTACTGTCAAGTACTGTCAAAACTGATACATATTTTTTTATGTTTAATAGACTGAATAGAAATAATGAATTTATGTATTTTCAAATAAATTATGTATATATACTAATATCAAAATAAAATTATAGTCATATATTCATTTTGTTAGTTTGTTTGTTTGATCTAAATCGAAATTAAAGTTTGAAAAGCATAGGCTCCATGTTTTAGAAAAAGTCTTTGTTATTTATCTCAATACTGTTTACCAGCAAAACAACAACAACATAAAATAAAACCTTCAGCAATGCAATGAAATGAAAAAGAGGTTTTTGAAATTAAACTTGAAAATGAGCAAATCTTTTTTCTTTTTATTTTGAATTAAAGTGAATATGTCTAGAATTTAAGTTAATAGGTCTATAATTAAAGTGAATTGGTCTAGAATTAAAGTGAATTGGTCTAGAATTTAAGTGAATTGGTCTAGAATAATTTTAGTGAATTGGTCTAGAATTTAAGTGAATTGGTCTAGAATTTAAGTGAATAGGTCTAGAATCAAAGTGAATAGGTCTAGAATTAAAGTGAATTGGTCTAGAATTAAAGTGAATCGGTCTAGAATTTAAGTGAATTGGTCTAGAATTAAAGTGAATTGGTCTAGAATTAAACTGAATTGGTCTAGAATAAAAGTGATGAAGAGGTCTAGAATTAAAGTGAATAGGTCTAGAATTAAAGCAAATTAGTCTAGAAGTAAAGTAAACAGGTCTAGAATTTATGTGAATAGGTCTAAAATTAAAGTAAATTGGTCTAGAATTAAAAAGGAATTGGTCTAGAATTTAAATGAATTGGTCTAGAATGGAAAGTCTGTAATAAAATAATTAATAACAATGTAAGTGTTTTACATCAGTTATAACGACAAACCATGACGGTACCATAAATGGAAGTTGTTGGCAAGTTGGAGATACATGATCCAATAATATATATTTATATAGTAGATAATAAAGTGTTCTAGAACAAAATATTATTATTCATCATATAAATGTTCATTCTAAGTCATTAATAGAACTATATCAACATTTAAATTTTATTCAAATTTTGTTCAAACAATTTTTATATGAATATGCAAATGATACATTTCTATTGTTTTTAGCAATATTTGAAAATTTTATGGAAAATGTGCCCACTGTATACCTATCCACTTTAATCCTATAACAGAACAGTTAGCACAACGTTTTACCTTAAATGGTTCAAAAATATTAATTTCAACAAATTATTTGTAGACAATGATTTATAAATTATGACAACAATGATTTTAACTTTCCAAGATTCCATGATTTTTTGCAGACAAAAATTATATTCCGTGATTTTTGTTGTATTATTAAAGCACTTTATAACATTAGATCCTTTCATGAAAAAATATATATTTATATATGGTATACATTTTGTATTCAGTAACAAGATAGAAAACTAGTATCTCTTTGACATGTTTTTTTTTGTTTCCTAACTAAGCACAAATTCAGCATGTCTTCTTCATTATGTAAGTTTATCCAATATACATATAACAATATATGAAAACAATATCAAAAAGCTGGTTATACAAAATATAAAGTATGTATGTACAAAGCAAATGGCCGGAATAATGGAATAATTTAAAGACATATCTTGGTTCAATTAACAAACTTTAAGTTAAAGGGTATATTAACCTACAGTATAATCTCTTCGTTGTTGGGCTGTCTTGTTGTTTAATAACTGTTTATTCCTATTTTTACTACTCATATTTGGTCATATATTGGCAGTCGGTCAATCTGAATAACTACACAGTAATTACCAATTTCACCGCCAGTGACACAATTACTAATCTCTTTTCATTCCAGATACTTTTGTTTGTTTGATTGGTTTTTACGTCACACCGACACACTATAGGTCATATGGCGACATTCCAGCTTTACTGGTGGAGGAAGACCTCAGGTGCGCTACCGAACATTATTTCAGGCACGAAAGGGCACATGAGTAGATCTACCGACGTTCCGTAAGCAAGCTGGATAGATTCATCACATGAAAGAATCTAAAGTCCCTGTCTAGATTCGAACCCACAGTGTTGAGGGGCAAGTGGTTTGAAGTCAACAACCTTAACCACTCGGCCACTTACGCCCCATTCCATCATCTTGAGATGTCTGAGATAATTTGATGGAACTCAGCAAATGTAGATCTTAAATTCCATGATAATCCCCACGTTCAGCCAAAATTGATAAAATTTGAAAAATCTTACTTAAATAAAAATTGGGTCATTATAATGAAATAAATATGAAACAGATAATAAAGAAAAATACTAAGAAATTATATTAATTCTTAGTCTGGTACAAACGAAATTTACCGTTATAGCTTAACAGTGCACTTCCCATCACAATAGATAAAACAACCTGTTGCGCTTATTTTTAAAGCTGTAACTGTAATAGTTTATTTATACCAACGGATTAGCTGGAAAAAAAAACCCAAAATAATTGTGCATGGCAAGCAATCTTATTATGGTGAACATTTAAGCAAAGTTACTTCAAAATCTGTAAATAGATGAAAAAGTTATGGAATGGACACGAAATACAAAATGTACAACTACCAAGAGACGATCTCAATCCGTGATCTCAAAGTATGACCTCATCTGTAGGGGTATGGGTGTTGCACATTTAATGGTAACATTTGTGCCAAGTAATAAAAACAAAACCCCTTTGATAGATGAAAAGGTTATGGACAGGACACAAAATATACTCTGCAACCTTTGACCTCTAATACTATTGTTACAGAATGAGGTTTATCTCTTATGTTCTGATTACCATTAGATAGCCCCCTATTTATTTTTGGTAGTGCAGATCGATAGATGGAGTTCATTTCTACCAAAATATCTCTTTAAGTCTGGACCATTAGGATATATGAAAAAAAATATATAAATATTTTGTAGTATATTTCACTAGTTATTGCTATAATCATACCCTTTAACTTGTCCTCTCACAGTAAAATATTTGTTTTTATACAAAAGAAAATGCATAAAAAACATTGTTCACTACCTTTGTTGATTTTTCAATATAAATAACAGTATGCAGCAAAGCTTTTAATTTACATATGTATATATCCGTATCAAATTAAATCAACAAATAGATAAAAATCTAAAATTTCTTTGCCCAAAGACACATGCATCTCTATAACCTTTACAAATACATGTGTAAATAATCTAATGTCCAAAAAATATCTAATGTGAAAAAAATAACATTCGGGAAATAACCGATTTGCTACAATATTGGCTTACACTAAGACTTCCTTAAAGATATGAAAATATACTGTCAATGTAGATTGCACAAAAAGCAGGATTCATGATTCACAAACATTTTCTCATGCTTTATTTATAAATCTTTCAACTGTGATAACAACAACTTTTTGATGCACAAATATATCCACTTACACAGTAAAATGAGACATAATTGCATGCATTGAGGATACTGAATGAATGTAGGTTTAAAACTGAATTTATTAAACGAGTTAAATAAAATTTATTATGCGAGCTTCTAGTTGTATAAATTAAGTATTGAATCTAGACGAATATAATATTCTATTTATCACATAATATAAAATAAAAATGGTAATCTGTTAAAAATAGTCATCTTTCATTGACGCGCTGTAGTTTAACGATTACATTAGCGGGCTTTAACGCTATCTTAAAGATATGAATATACTGTAAGAATAAGTGTAAAATCTAATGTAGATTGCACAAAAAACCAGGATTCAAGATTCGCAAACATTTTCCTCATGCTTAATGTCTTAAAAACTTCCGAAACTGTGATTACAACAACTTTTGACACGCAAAACTATCCACCTATACAGTAACATGAGAGCTATGCATGCATATATTTAGATCACACTCTAAAATATTATAAAACACCTATCAGGCTAAATAACAGACTTGCCCATTTATCGTTGTTGGAAAAAAAACATTCATTATTTTAGTGAAAAATCAGAAATGATATGAAAAATCAAAAATGATATAAATATATATCATACTAACTAAACAGCAAACAATGTAGACGGTGATCAGATAGCACAAGTGTGCATGTGTAACATTATAAGAATCTTACACTGGCTGCCGGTACAGACCAGAATATCTAGCTGGAGGCTCTGCCGAGTTTCCGCTTAACAGTTACCCGAGAGCTAGATATTCCCGTCTGTACCGACAGCCGGTGTTTGATTCTTTTTCTTGCATATCACATATAAATTTTTTTCAAAACAGAAATTGCGAAAAACTGATATTCTCATTACGCACCTTTTTCTTATAGAAGCGTATGAACTTACAACTTCATTCATAACGATAAAATTACGTCATCATAAGAACGCAATTCATTCATAATAAAAGGCGCGCGTCAAAGACGGCATTTAAAGTACGCGACTTTAAAGTTTAAAGTACGCGAGTTCACATCCGTGTTATTTGTGCCGTGTGGCGGCTGTAAAAAGTCTCCCCGTACATTTAATCAATGATGTTATATTTTCGATCCTTGAAGATCGTTCAGCACGACATAATTGTTGTGCTTGTGGTATTTTTAGTTTCAACTTTTCGGCATTTTCTAGTTGGGTGGTTCCAATATTCCTACTTGAATAATGTTGAATCACCCTTAAGATATGTTGCCTGCTTTTTAAATTTGTCTTTTGACGTCTTATCTGTGATACGCAGGCTTCATAACCTCTGATCCCCTTTCAAAATTCCATTTTATTTAGTTCCGCCCATTGTTTTCTCGTTTAGGGCACACGCCTTTTGTTACTTGGGGACCATACGCCGCTTTTCATGGAATGGCACGGAAGTGTCACCTTGAAGGTTCCATGATAACCGCCGTATGAACACATCTGCGGATGTTTCTAAATTCAAAATTTTACTATTTCACGTTTAAATGTTGAATTCTGCTTAAGCCGGTGCTAGGGGGCGTGGAAGGTAAATTGCACTTTCCAGTACCGTCCATAAACAGGCTCAATCAAACCGAGCCTGCAACATTTTCAATTTTGCCGTGTTGGGCTTTCTTTAGGGATTCTGTTTTTATCTATTTTTTTTTGTCTTACATGGGGGTGTAAGACAGATTTTTCTAGCAACAATGTAAACGGTAGATAATCCTGTCTGATATGCAAGAATAAATTATGACCCTGTTAAAAATGACCCAAATGGGTTGAAGAAAAAAAACCTGGGCCATTGTTCAATATTAACAATATACCAGTCTAACATGTCAACATTTATGAAACCATAATGAATTATTTGTACTGTACATGAATTTTACAGTTTTCTTAATGTTTCAGAGAATAAAGACTGCATTATTCTTTACTACATGAAATACTTTTTGACTTGAGCATACTTTGAATACAGATGGATCATTCGAAAGTGGAATATCTACAAGAAATCAGCAAATGTAATGGTTTCAGCTATAAGTAAAGGTTTAAGCTATAAGTAAAGGTTCAAGCTATAAGTCTATAATTATACACTATACAAAAAGATAACTGATATTCTTCTCCTTCACATTTCTTCAATTTTTAATGGTTTAAAATCTTTTAGAATATAAGGTACATCAATTTTTACACTTTAAAAATGATCAGATCAATAATCAATAAAAAATTATATTTATATATATTCTGTTGGAAAATATTGTACAAAATTATGCAAAACAACTTTGGTAAAATAACAACACTAAAATTCAGTTCTTCTATGGTCTGTGTCTGGCGTTTTTGTAGAATCAGATTTCATATTTTTCTCCGCACGTCTTTTCCGCATGTTGCTCAGAATGCCGCAGGCTTTCTGAATTTCTATGAATTTTTCTTGTGCTGCTAGTTTTTCTGCGGCTGTGTTAAATTTATCGGGATGATACTGTCGACTAAGTTTACGACATCTTGGCTGGATTTCATCCAGATGAGCACTGAGTCCGTCAAATTCTAACACCTGAATGTATAAAACAAACATTCTAACACCTGAACGTATAACACAAATATTCTAACACCTGAACGTATAACACAAAAATTCCAACACCTGAATGTATAACACAAACATTCTAACACCTGAATGTAAAACACAAACATTCTAACACCTCAACTATAACACAAATATTCTAACACCTGAATGTATAACACAAACATTCTAACACCTGAACGTATAACACAAATATTCCAACACCTCAACTATAACACAAATATTCTAACACCTGAACGTAAAACACAAACATTCTAACACCTGAACGTATAACACAAACATTCTAACACCAGAACGTATAACACAAATATTCTAACACCTGAACGTATAACACAAACATTCTAACACCTGAATGTATAACACAAATATTCCAACACCTGAATGTATAACACAAATATTCCAACACCTGAATGTATAACACAAACATTCTAACACCTGAACGTATAACACAAACATTCTATCACCTGAATGTATAACACAAATATTCTTACACCTGAACGTGAAGCACAAAAAATTCTTTTACCTGAATTTATAACACAAACATTCTATCACCTGAAAGTACAAAACAAACATTTTAACCCCTGAACCTATAACACAAACATTCTAACACCTGTATGTATAACACAAATATTCTAACACCTACACGCATAACACAAACATTCTAACACCTAAACGTATAACACAAACATTTAAACACCTGAACGTATAACACAAACATTCTAACACCTGTATGTATAACACAAACATTCTATCACCTGTTACACAAACATTATATATAAAATTTTAATTATTTTCCATTTAAATATACTGCGAACATATAGATTGTAAGAGAAAAACAATGACAACAGAAAGCCTCGAACAAAAAATCTCTCTTATATAAGGCAATCACTTAACCGACTGTGCTATTGTATATGTGATGACATGACCTATGCATAAAGCCTGTTTGACTTTTCAAAACATTATTTCCAATATTCCATATCAATTCTCACAGGCATAACTGCAAAATTAGTGTTATTATAGTGTATTCATATTGACGGGTCAATAAAATTAGACTGGGAACAGTCATTCCTGTGTATCAATGCAACTTAATAGTAAGAAATACATTAAAGAAAACATAAATAATGACTAGATGTGAAATTTTCCTTTCCCCCATCATATAAATTTTCCAATTGTGGTCCTTCAAATTACAGATAGTCTTCAGTGCCACCTCTGCAGAGAAATAAACTCTGTCCAACAAAAGAAATTGATACTTCACACTCATACCTGGTTATATCAATTAAGCTGCACGCCTCCAGATGAGCCAAAATAGTTCAAGAAAATCAAACTTGAGAAAAAATGTACTAAGAGTTTAAGAAAAGTAATTTTAGATTCAAGTTATAATTTACATTTTATGTGCAATAAATGACTAATTTTGTCGTATTTTTATCACCATATTTCTCCTGCGTTTCTAATGTGGTAAGGGCTATTTTCAGCCTCTTTTTAGTAATTAACATGTATTGCATGTAATGTGTAAATTATTTCTTTGTTCACTACACAATTGCTTTACTTTTAAATACATTTTTTTTTAATTTTCATGAAAATTTTCATGAATCTTGAGGCATGCTGCTTTAATATCTCTAGAGCAACTTGTCTTTACAACAACACAAATCTCTGTCTTAAACATGGTGCTGTCTAGGGGTCTCACGGTTAGAGAATATGCTAACTGTTTAAAGGACAGCGTAATAACAGTGTTAAATGCTTAACCGACCGTACTAATAAAATCCTTAGATTTTCAACATTAACTTTGTTTCTCTATGACAAGATATGCCATTTTGTTCATATTTTGTTATATTCAAAATGATTACAATTCATATCCGAATCTTTTTCTAGGGTCGTACTGTACTCGATCAGATAGGAAATAAAATTGTTGAGTTCAACTAAATTATAAACAATTGTCATATCTTGTTTAAAAAAAACAAAGGTAATATTTAAAATCAATTAAAAACTTGTTCACCCCTTAGGCAAATACTAACCTCGGTTACCGGTTATTGAATTTTCAAACATGGTTTTAGCTTAAAACCAACCTTACCCGTCTAAACGTGACAACCCTAGTGTTGTTCTACATTTGTTGTACCGACTTTTCATTTTATTTTTCAACCTACCTTATAAGCATGGGCTTCTCCTGTAGGATCGAGATGTTCTACAAGTTTCTGGTAACACGTGTCCCAATCATTCACCTGGCAAAACTCGTACAGTTCGTTCATCGTCTTCTTAAAATCTTTCCAGGCTGGAGATTCAAAAAAGTTACCAATAGCTTCGTACATTGGAACATCCATCCCATCACTGGTCACAACGTGCATGTTGAAACATATCACAGAGCCCCACAGAGTCATATATATACAGCCGCATAAAGCTAAAACTATTACACGCTTAATAAAGTTACAAACCCCTGTGGGCGCTTCTTTTTCAATGTCCCATTCTCTCTTCTCAATTGCCATAAACGTGGAAAATAGAGAAGCATAGGTAATAGATGATGGACTCTCTAATAAAAGCCAAGGTGTTGAAATGGCTGCTCCCAGAATACACCACTTAAATGACACCTTCTGTACTCCTATATTAGAAACTAGGCTAACACCTGTAATCATGAAAAAAATACTATATAACAATAATATTAAGTTGAGGCGGTACACTCAAAACTAGTAACAAAACTCTCTTCATCTCATGCAACAAAACACATTTATTATAATAAAAGATATCATAGTAAATACTATGAAACAATTGACATGAATTTAAAAAGTGTTTCTTGCAAAATGAGGTTTAACTTTTGAAAACTCTAATTAATTTACTTAATTATTAACACTCTATATTGTGTATAAACAGTTTCTGTATTTATATTGGTTCTTACAGGTAATATTTCTTTAAACCACAAACTGTGATCTTAGCCCATTACAGCTTATATAAATTTAAAAATCTGCAACAAATACCAGTCATTGTGTTCATTATATGTCATTGTGTTCATTATATATAATATAATTATAGGTAATATAATTCATATAGAGACAGCATATTGGATGCTCCACTTATTACAGGAAGTATCATTTTCAATAGTGACCAATACCTAAAACTGTGCCCTTTTCATATACATGTATAATATAACATAATATAGTTAATATACCTATAGCTGCACCTATTACTGGTAATATGACTTTAAACACATGATCCAAACCATACTCCATGTTGTTTAGAACAAAGTCTGGTATAGCCAGTCTCAACAAGTAACTCATCATTGTCCCTGTTAGTAAAAAAACACATTTATTTTCTTTCTACAAATTAAGAAAACAAAAATAATAATAAAATAAAATGATCATGCCAATCATTAGTTGCTATATAAAGTAAATGGTTGCTATGTAAAATCAATAGTTGCTATGAAAATCAATGGTTGCTATGGAAGTCAATGGTTGCTGTGGAAAGTCTATGGTTGCTATGGGAGTAAATGGTTGCTATTGGAAGTCAATAATTGCTACTAAAGTCACAGATTGCTAAGGAATGTCAATGGTTGCTATGAAAGTATAAATGGCTGATACATGTCACTGACCATTATGCTATGAAAAGTAAACGTTTGCTAAGAAATTCACTGGTTGCTCAGGAAAGTCAGATGTTGCTATAGAAAGTCAATGTTTGCTATGTAAAGTAAATTTGTTTGTTTGTTTTGTTCTTGTACGCCTTTTCCCAACAGTATATTGAACAGTCATATAGGCGGGTAGTTTCCTAACCATCGCTCCTAGAGAGCTACACCAGTACTAGTCTACCTTCCTCCGCACTAAACTACCAAAGCATCTCCCGGGGATCGAGCCCACATGCTAGAAATGGAAAACAAAGTCTGCTATGAAAATCAATGATTACTATGGAAGTCAATGATTTCTGAAGAAGTCACTTTCTGCTATATGGGTGTCAATGGTTAAAAAGGTCACTGGTTGCTATAGATGGCACGGTTAATATGGAAGTCACTGGTTGCTAAAGAAAGTTAATGGTTGCTATGGAAGCTATAGATTACTACTGACAATCAATGGATGCTATGGATGGAAGTACCTAGTTGCTTTATGATAAGAAAATGATAACTGGGCTAAGAAAATTAAGAAAGTTAATGGTTGCTATTCAAAGTGAATGGTTCTTATAGAAGTTACTGTTGCTGATCAGTTCTCTTATTGCTAAATATCTCAATGATTGCTATGGAAATCTCTGGCTTCAATGAAAAGTCAATGTTTGGGTTGCTATAAAAATCAATAGTTGCTTTGGAAAGTCAATGGTTAATATGGAAAGTCATTGCTTGCTATGAAAATCAATTGCTGACCCACTGGCTTCTATTTTATGTCATGCTCCAGGGTTGTGCCAATTTATTTTGTACCCAAGAGCTATTATTTATTCAACTTGGGTAAGTTAAGGAACAACGAAGTGGTTAAGGTCACTGACTTCAAACCACTTGCCCTTCATCACTGTAGGTTCTGCCCCTCACGGCTGAGGGTTTAAATCCCGGTTCTTTCATGTGAGGAAGCTATCAAGCTAGCTTACGGAACGTCAGGGTTCTACTCAGATGCCGTTTGTGCCTGAGAAAATGTACGGAAGGGCATCTCCATCAGTAAAACTGGAAAATGGTCATATGACATATACTGTTTTAGTGCGATTTTAAACCCAACCCCAAAAACCAACTTGGGTTGGATCAAAAGTCAAATAACAAAGCTCTAGCCCTTTTTGGTTTTATATTGTCACTGTTTTCACTTTATACATAGGATAAAAAAAACCTTCACCCCCATGCAGGGAAAAGTCGAACAAACTTTAAAAGAAACACTAGACAATGTTAAGTGCTTAATATCTAATAATTGTGCAGGTTCAGAATTTCTTTTTCCTCCAATGTTACTTATTGTAACATATAAGGAATACCCATGACCCCCAATCTCTGTGGGTTCGGGCCAATTTTCATCCAAGAGCTTTAATTTGAACAAACTTTGTATATGTCCACAAAACAATATTAAATGTCATATATCTAAGCATGAATTACCTTTGTGGCTCGAAAAATCTTTAATATATATATATATATATATATATATATATATATATATATATATATATATATAATATATATATATATATATATATATATATAATATATATATATATATATTTACCCAGGACCTCCCTGCGACAAATTAAGAGGCAGGGCTATAATTGGAACAAACTTTGCAGAGACCCAATACATAATGTTTAATGCCAAATTTATCTAAGCTTTTGGAGAAGAAAATTTTTGACGCCATAAACAAGGCACATTGCATGACAGACACAGAGCGATAGTAAAAGCTTGCCTTTGAGCACTTTGTGTTAACCTTACAACACGTAAGTTATGTAGAAATTAGGAAACTGTAGATTAGCATATTGCCTACATGTATATATTCTATACACACACATTCATTTAAAACACATCATCTTTGTAATTATCTTATACACATTACGAAAATCTATGCTGCATTAACATTTAATTAATATAATGTCCACTGATTGTACTATAAAAGAAAATACAATAGACATACCTAGCATATTAAATTTTGATGCTTTATAATTATCTGCACCTGTAAAAAATTAACCTGAACATCCTATTTATGAATTGCTAATAGCAACACATAAATTTACACTTCCCCTTTGGGTCATCAAACAGATGTTTTTTAATCACCATATTAATCAGCATACAAAATTACCCCTACTATATATCTGAAGAAATATATGGTTAAGCTCAAATTAAATACATTGTTAAAGGGACTCCACTGAGGTTTAAAAACCTTAAAAAATTAACATTTGAATTTCTTACTTAAACAAGTACAAATGTAGCTGCAATGCAGCAGTTGACATTACGCCATTACGAGAAGAGATTGCTCCGCCCACTGATTCACGTGACCCAGTCATTCAGAACCTTAGACAAAAGACGGTGCTGACGTTTACGCGAAACTGTCATGCCACTTAAGTGATTAAAAGACTACCTGCTAATGCTACAAAGTTTCGTGATCACCTATCAATTATTTCAGTAGGAAATGATGTTCAAAGGTTTTTCTATTTTTGGCTTTATAGTGGCCCCTAAAAGGCGCCAGTCAAATTAATATGAGCAAATTAGATAAAAGCGCACCTAAGAATGCTACAAAGTTTGGTGATCATCCATCAATTAGTTGTGTAGAAATAGATGTTTAAAGGTATTTCTATTTTTAGCTTTAGCTGCCCTTAAAAGGGTCCAATCACAATAATATGAGCAAACTTGATATAAGACTACCCAAGAATGCTACAAAGTTTGGTGATCATCCATCAATTAGTTTTATAGAAGAAGACGTTTAAAGGGTTTTCTATTTTTAGCCCTAGAGACCCCTAAAAGGAGACAATCAAATTAATATGAGCAAACTTGATATAAGACTAATTAAGAATGCTACAGACAAAATTTGGTGATCATTCATCAATTAGTTCTATAGAAGAAGACGTTTAAATGTTTTTTCTATTTTTAGCTCTAGAGACCCATAAAAGGGGCCAATCAAATTAATATGAACAAACTTGATAAAAGTCTACATAAGAGTGCTACAGACAAAGTTTGGTGATTATCCATTATTTAGTTCTGTAGAAATAGACGTTTAAAGGTATTTCTATTTTTAGCTTTAGCTGCCCCTAAAAGGGGAAAATCACAATAATATGAGCAAACTTGATATAAGACTATCTAAGAATGCTACAGACAAAATGGTGATCATTCATCAATTAGTTCTATAGAAGAAGACGTTTAAAGGCTTTTCTATTTTTAGCCTAGAGACCCCTAAAAGGGGCCAATCAAATTAATATTTGCAAATGTGATAAAAGACTTCCAAAGAATGCAACAGACAAAGTTTGATGATCATCCATAAATTAGTTCTCTAGATAGAGATGTTTAAAGGCATTTCTATTTATAGCTTTAGCTGCCCCTAAAAGGGCCAATCAAATTAATATGAAAAAAAAACTTGACAAAAGACTACCCAAAAATGCTACAGACAAAGTTTGGTGATCATCCATTAATTAGTTCTGTAGAAATATACGTTTAATGGTATTTCTATTTTTAGCTTTAGCTGCCCCTAAAAGGAGCCAATCACAATAATAATTATGAGCAATCTTGATATAAGACTATCAAAAAATGCTAAAGACAAAGTTTGGTGATCATCCATCAATTAGTTCTATAGAAGAAGACGTTTAAAGGGTTTTTTATTTTTAGCCCTAGAAACCCCTTTAAGGGGCCAATCAAATTAATATGAGCAAACTTGATAAAAGACTACCCAAGAATGCTACAGACAAAGTTTGGTGATCATCCATTTATTAGTTCTTAAGATATAGATGTTTAAAGGTATTTCTATATTTAGCTTTATCTGCCCCTAAAAGGGGCCAATCAAATTATAATAGCAAACTTGATAAAAGACTACCCAAGAATGCTACAGACAAAGTTTGATGATCATCCATAAATTAGTTCTCTAGATAGAGATGCCTAAAGGTTTTTGTATTTTTAGCCCAAGAGCCCAAGAGACCCCTTAAAAACATCCCAAGAATGCTACAGACAAAGTTTCGTGACCATCCATCAATTAGTTCTGTAGTAGAAGTTTTATAGGTTTTCTATTTTTAGCTCTGTTGACCCCTAAAAGGGGCCAATTGAAATAGCAGGAGCAAATTCAAGTGTGACTGTCACAAGGATGCTACAGACTAAATTTAAAGTAAAACTGCCCAGTAGTGTCAGAGAATAAGACGATTGTTGACGCATGACGACGGACGCCGGAGTATCCCCCTTTGATACTTATAGCTCACCCTGAGCCTTCGGCTCTGGTGAGCTAAAAAAGTAAAATTATATAAATGAACCAGTAACTTTACAAATGTTTGTTGGGTTTTATGTTCAAAATCACTTATATGTAATGCATTTGTGCATAAATTGTCAAAATTAAATGTGAAAATTGCTCTTGCGTAACTTTGTTGTATGATATATGATTAAATGTATATTTGTACATTAGATATTTTCGTGATACAACACAATATTATTCACTTCAAAATAAGTTTCGCAAATACCAGACCTCGGCTTTAAATTAAAACCGTGATCAGATATGATGTTATTGAAGCAGACGTATATTAATATTTAAATCATTTTATTCATATAGCTTTAATAGAAATATTTAGATAGGATAATTTCACCTAAAGAATTTATTACATATTCTCTCATTTCATTTGCAAGTATTTCTTTCTACTGCAGCATTTTATAGA